TTTGCTTGTATTCCCCCTGAAAACAGTGAAAACAATGAAAAAGGGTAGGGGTATGAACTCACCAGACGAGAAAACGTGTCAGTTTGGATGCTATGTGTCGGTTCGGGGCTTGATAACGCGCGAGGTTCCTATGTAATATGAAATGATACACAATTGTATCTAATTATACTTTGAACCACTAATTAGATATGAATATAAACTTTGATATGTGAAAACACTTCAACTCAAGTGTTCATAGTGACCCGAGTGACATCTATGGATGTGTAGGACCTAGATATGGAGGTTACTCTTCAAAAGTAAACTCTTTGGGGAGTTTACGGTCCATTGACCATATCCCCATGAGTTTATGGCCGTAAACTCATGGGTGGTGTGTTCTTATTTGCCAAATAGTCTTACAATGCACTCGGGAAAGTTCTAGGGTTGATTCCATGGCCTAGGAAGTGATCGGGACTTGAAATGGCCTTGGAAATGGAGTTTATGGTCTATGAAGATGTTCTTGGGGAGTTTACTACCTTAAACACATGAGTTTACAACCGTAAACTCATGTTTGTTCATGATTCATGGGTGTTGGTGTTTGTAGGATAATCACATGTGGTTCTAGTCCAACATACAAGCCATTTAAGGTGTTAAGGACACTTAAACACCCATTTGAAGAGTTTATGGTCTAAGGAGATGAGTTTACGGTCTAAGAATGTTCTTGGAGATTTTACTACCTTAAACACATGAGTTTACAACTATAAGCTCATGTTTGTTCATGATTCATGGGTGTTGGTGTTTGTAGGTTAATCACATGTGATTCTAGTCCAACATACAAGCCATTCAAGGTGTTAAGGACACTTAAAAAACGATTTGAAGAGTTTATGGTCTAAGGAGATGAGTTTACGGTATAAGAATGTTCTTCGACCGTAAAATCTAGTTTGTCCCATTTATGAATGTTTTGATACATTTCTTGAAGGGTTATAAGGTTCTATGCACTCATGGAAGTTCATTGGAGGTGATTAGGGGAAAACTAACACCCTAAAAGGTGTTTAAGGTCTATGAATGAGGGTTTACGGTCCAAGCATGTTCTTGGACCATAAACTCATGTTTGGTCCCTTCTTGTATGATTTAGTGCTTCAAATGATGGAGTAGAATGTCCTAGACACGTTTGGAAGCTTGTGGTGGTGTTTAAGGGCATTTTTAACACCTTAAGAGGAGTTTATGGTTCATGCATGGGGGTTTACGGTCCAAGAATGTTCTTGGGCCGTAAACTCATATTCATACCTCAAATGCCAAGATTTTTGGGTCCTAAGTCCATGCATGCAAGTTTCTAAGTCGAATCTAAGCCTTAGAAGTGTTCTGGAGGGGTTTTGAGGCTTCAAAAACCTCATTACATGTGTTCACGGCCTAAGGAGGTTCCAAGACTGTAAACACTTGTTTATGGTCCCATTCCTCATATAAATCACGAATTTGAAGACCAAAGGTGTTAAACTAGGAGCTAGGATAGTTACCTTGATGATTTGAAGCTTGTTTTGGATGATTTTGGCTAAGTTTCGGATTTTAGAGAGAGAGAGTAGTGCGAGAAAGTAGAGAGAGAGTGAAAAAGCTTCAAATGAGGCTCTCTCAACCTTATATATGCTAAAAGTTTGGGACACAGTGGAATTCTACCCGATACCAACGTTATACGATGCTTTTGGTCGTACCCGATAAAGTTGCCGTATTTACGAATTAAATAAAACTAAATATTTTCTAAATGAAATAGAAAATATTTTAATGTTTTAAAATGTATTCCAATACTTTGAAAACCTTAATAGAAGTCGCAATAATTTATTTAAAACAAAGTTAACAGAAAATTTTGGAACTTAACGGCTTTATTAACGAAAGCGGGTTACTGTAACGGAAAATAAATTACAGGTTGTCACACCAACTCTTCATCGAAGTTGACACTCAACTTCAGCAAACGGTCCAGAAATCTTTGCATCTTCTACAAGTGGGCCCTGGTTGACTCTCCATCATTCCTTTTGGTTGTACTCACGGAGGCTATGATTTCATACCTTTCATGCCTTGTACTTTGATGGTACATTTCCATCAAGTCTTGGTGCATTTTATAAGGCTAAAAGTCCTCATACGACTTCTGAAGCTCAACAGTCATGGTAGTAATCATAATACACAACACTTTGGTCGTGTCCCTCTCATGGGCCTCGTATTCAGCAATCTTTTCGGGAGTAGCGATAGATTCATCAATCTCCTTAAGCTGTTTATCTAGGACATATTCTTGTCCTCATAGAGAATGGCCATTTGGATGTTTCGAATCCAATCATTGAAGTTCGATCCATCAAATATGACCCTACCACATAAGTTCATGAGGGAGAAAGAGCATGAAGGGTTTGGGGTTTGAAGCAGTGTGGGAAGACATCTGAAAAGAAAGACAAAGTTTATATTCGATAATGATCCTTAATATAGCACCCAAATTAAATACTAAGGCTAGGACCCAACACAATAGTTTACTATTCGGAAGACGGATGTTGTAATCCAATTGAAAAATATTTGAAGGTAGGTAAATGACAATTTACCAATTTCCACCATGAAAAACGAAACTGATTATTAGGTTTTAATTGGATTGAAATTCGTAGAATCTTTTGAGATTCATTGAACATTTCAATGGCATGTTTAAATCTCGACTATGCGCTTCAATTTTGTGACTAGGATGTCGAGGATCACAAACAAGGTGTGAATAACCATCTAAATTAGTTTGGTACACTTAATGTTACAAATCATCCAATCAATGTGCCAGTTAACCTACACACTCCATTGAACCATGATTAACATCAAGCTACCCTTTGCCACACACTATCAGTCACAAATTAGTGTGTCGGTTAACCACAAACGCTCCACTACCGACTTAACAAGGTGCAAAGTGCAACTTCATGGAATAGCACCATTTTCACATTTTTCCTAAAGTAACTAAGATTGGGAATTTATAAAAGTTTAGTTACTTTAATAATTATCATTATACTTATTAATGAGAATTAATGTCTTATCCTACCTGTTCAGTTAACGACCCTCCACCAGTCAAGGAAGCGGTGGGTGAGAGTGGACACCCATTAAACCACCATTTTATAGGCAGTAACCTTATACCCCTCTTATTGATCGGCTTCGTGAATGAGCCTACTAATGGTAAGGCTGACTTGTCTTATATATATATATGTGTGTGTGTGTGTGTATATATATATATATATATATATATATATATATATATATATGTATGTATAAGTATTAAACTTTAATATTATAATAATATAAGGGTTGAATTTTAAACTTTTAAAATTGTTGGGTTTGGAATTAAAGTTTCATAAATGAGACTCTTCAAATTCCAAACTTGAGGACAAGTTATGAAACCTTTCAACATCTCTTGAATTCTATAACTTACAATAGTTAATAGTTTCATAAATAAAGACTTTTCATATTCCAGAACTTAAGGACAAGTTATGGAACTTTTCAAGAAACACATAGATCAAATTAAAGTTATCCAATTATCATACAATTCATCATTTACCAATTTGACCTAGTTCATATTCAATATAGTTTTAAAATTTTCCAATAATTAGTTTTTCACAAAATCATTTAATTATCTTAAAATTTGACAAACATCATGTTTTTGGATGGGGATAAACATTACCATATTATTAAAATCAATTTTTATGAACCAAAACAGTTTGTGGTAATGATCCTAATCCAAAACAGGCCAACAACTCGAAAATTATGACATCTGATGAGCCAACTTGTTGAGGCAGGATTTGGACTAGTTGAGTTCATGGAAAAAAACTCATCCAAATCGTCGAGTCCATCTATGGACTTGTCGCATTGATCAGGAAGTGGCTAGAAAAATCATTTTTCCAACTTCGAAAATCAAACATTTACATCAATATAATAGAAAATACCCATGACTCTGATACCACGGATGAGTTTTATGTACTCTAACATTCCTATGGTGCACATACAACCCTAATGCTTTGGATCTAAGTTTTCTCTAATTATACAAACAACATTGTTTACCAAAGCATAAAGCCTAAACTAGCATGCATGGTAACATTTAAATCATGAAAACAGTTAGAAGATTACCTTGTGTAGTAGCTTCCTTGTCTTTGACCTTTAGGAGCCTAGCACCTCTGTAACGACGTGAAATTTCAACCAAAATTTTCAATTTAAAAACATGTTTGTCTCAATAAATAAACACAAAATATCAAGTGTTAAATCATCAAATCTCATATCAAGAACTGTTCATATTTAAAACTCCAGGATCGTCTAAATCATAACTCTATCGTTGACGTGTGTACAATCAGGCCGACGCCTTCCCGCGATCCGCAGAAGTACCTGAAACACATAACACATAACACAGTAAGCTCAAAGCTTAGTGAGTTCCCAAAAACACTACTAGAAAAACAGCCTTTTACGACGCTCATTGCGCGTCGTAAAACGCTCAGACGACGCGCAAATGCGCGTCAAGGAAGGCCCTGTCATAAAGAGAGACGACGCGCTCTTGCGTGTCGTCTATAGACGACGCGCATTTACGACGCACATTTATGACACGCATTTACGACGCACGTTTATGACACGCAATGCGTATCAAGGAAGGCCCTGTCATAAAGGAAGACGACACGCACTTGCGTGTCGTAACCTTACGACGCGCGTGTTTATGACACGCAATGCGTATCAAGGAAGCCCCTATCAAGAAAGATCATGTCATAAATGAAGACGACACACAGTTTTGCGTATCGTAATTTTAATTTTTTTTTTAAAAAAAAATTGTTTATAGCTTTAACGATTTTCAAATTAAATTTGCATTTCATGTCTCATAATAGAAAATAAAATACCATATAAAAAAATTACAATACATTGCACAAAAGTTAATGTCATTCAAATAATCATTCCAATAGTAGACAAATGTAATACATCAAATAATCATTCCAATAGTAGACAAATGTAACATTTCAACATTTTTTATATAATTAACTAAATTATTAGCCAAATTTCCTAAAATACCAACATACTTTTCTATGAAGAGCATTAACACTAGTCTTTTCCATCAAAAACTTCAAAACCTGCATAATTAAATTAATGTGTAATCAGCTACAGGTCAATAAGGTAGGTTAAAGCAAAAGAGTTTCATAATAGTAAGATTTTACTTACCACTGTTGTTAATGACATTGAAAGAAGCAGCCCAAAAAACACCCCCTCAGAAGGATTACTACCACATAACTGTTGATATTTGATACTTTATTACTAAATGAAACCAAAAACAAAGTTAAAAAGTCAACAAAATCAGAAGGTTTCAGTCAAACATACGGAGGCTGTAATTCCAAATATTAATAAATGACATTGATTGAACCACCTGCAGATTTACCATTTTGTCCCTATGAGATTCAGTACTGAACACATTCTACAGTTTGTAAGCTTTAATATATATATATATATATATATATATATATATATATATATATATATATATATATATATGAGAGATTTCCCGTTGGTTCATTTTCGAAGTCGATGTCGACCTAAAACACACAACAAGCAAAACATGATATGAATTTGTGTTGTGTGTTTCTTTGAGGGTAGAAGAGTAATTTTACACATACCGTGCCGACAAGTACGTAAGCTACAACCAAGGGAGGTGAAGCTAGGTAGTTGGCTCCTGTTAGTGGGTGAACACGCCCTTCAAAGTTTCTATTTCCAGAAAGCACAGTTGCACCATGGCTCGAAGTGCTTGAAACTGGAACACAATTATAAATTATATTTTTATTTTATTGAGATAATTAATAATTAATGTTTATGTAGATATGGTTGACTAGTTTATAAATAAATAAATATGTGTGGACTGTTATGAAGAAAATCCAAGTTACCAGCAGCATCAGCAGGACCATTTGCATCCATGTCAGGAAGTCCTTGGACCAAACACGACAATGTTACAATCTACAGGGTCTAAAACAAAAATTGTCAATCTAAAAGTGAAGAAAAATATTGAATACCTGAGGGAAGAGATCCAAAGGGTTTGAATTTGGTCCACTTGGAGGAAGAACTGCAGCTGGCGGGGGCTGAGCAGCTAGCAGACCTAGCAGTGGTGAAACTCCAGCAGCTGGCGGGAGTTCTGCTGGCTCCGGTATACAGCTCACTTGCATATATTTTAACCTCCAAATTACCAAGTTCATAGATAACAGGAATGTCATACCCCAATTTTGCAATTTCTTGTTTTTCAGAGACTTCCATTTGAAACCGGAGCTGTGTAAATCTACAAAATCAAAAAATAAAACCTCGTTTCAATTTGAGAATAAGAGTTAACCAACTACACCACTGTTCTCAATTTCGAAGTGAAAAATCACACTGTTGTTGAATACCCCAAAGAACAACAAAAAGGAGAGAAGATAGCAAAAAAAAAAAAGAGAAGATTCATGGATTTTTTTTCAATCACATTATTTCTTCGCTTTTCATCAACGTCTCGTGTATCTAAAAACAGATTATAAAATTTTTTAGTAATATTTTAAGTTGCTTATTAGTTTTTAAATTTTTCTGGTGTATTACAATAAGTGCACCTATTTCCATGCGTGCTTTGCTAGGGATGCTGTTGATTGCTCCAGGATACAACTCCAGTATACCTTCAATAAAAACAACATTTTAAGTATAAATGATAATGAAAAAAAAAAGATTACCAATAGTTCCAACAGTGTCTATGGATCCAGATTCAAGAACATGTTTTTCCACAACTAGTGCCAGCTCAACATCAGCCAAACCTGCATCATTTCCATTCTAAAATTGTGTATAAGACTCAAATATGCCATACAAAAAAGATAATAATAATAATAAACAAAAGTTATAAAGAATTGTTTATTTTATTACCTTTGTGGCATTAAAGCAACTCCAGCATGGCCTACATTTCCTCCAAAATAAACTTTAATGCTTGCAGGAGCAGCAATAGCAGTCACAATACCAATAGAAATTCCTTCATTTTCCAAAATTGATCCTTGTTCTATATGAAGTTCCTGCAAGTTTGCCCCTAATATTTAAACACTTCCTGCAAGTTTGCTTCCTTTCATGTCACCTAGTGTAAAATACCCTTCATCCTACAACACCAAATAAAAACCAAACCATATTATTAGTCTTAAAAAACTCATGCAAACAAAATTAACAGTAGTTTATTTATTGCCTTTGGTCCAATCATGTCGACTATTTGACACAAAATATCTTCAAAAAGAACAGGCTCTTGGGCCATGCATTCCATTCGATGCAACTGTTCTTCATAGAAGAATTGCATTTTATTCCTTGTAATCACACTGTTTGCATCTAAATCTACACACTTGAACCTGAAATCAAATCAGACATAATTTATTACTAAATGACTAAGGGGTTGTTTGATAGTTTCTGATTGAGTTAGACCTGACTGAGTCAGAGGCCTGACTGGGTTGAAGCTCTGACTGGATCTTGTTCTGACTGTAACCATGTTGTTTGATAACGCATCTGACTGGATGTGTTGAATGCTAAAAATGACCATCTTACCCTTCTGTAAATACACAAATTATATTAAGTTTTGCATATACATGATTTTTACCTATTAAGTTAAGTATTCACTAGCAAATCCATATTGTTTGATAAATAGAGAAAGATAAATGAATGGAATGAAATAAACAAAAAAATAACAAAAATACCCCTACAAACATAATGCATGTAATTTAAAATTATACAACATAATTAGATAAAGATATATCTTTATCATAATAAATGTATATTGAAACTTTAAATTACCACAATAACATAAATAAATTGTTAGAAATTCACCGTCAACCGAACAACGAATTACTTTTTCCACAAGTTTTTTTTTTCAACTTGCTGCACAAAGTAAATGGAAGTTTCAAACAAGAAGCTCTTTTTGTATTATATGTTTTCTATTTCTTGGAACTAGTTGATTTTTTGATCTCTCAAACACCACTAAGTGCATACAATTCATCTGTAGCTTAATTTTTAATCCTTTTTTCGTCTTTCATTACTGGTTTCCACAATTGATCTAAAAATGACTTCACAGATAAAGCATGAAAGAAGTATACTTGAAGAATTCGATCCACAATTCTTTAAAAAAAAAGGTTTATCTATTTCACATTAACTGAAAACTTGAGAAATAACATCAACGGGCAACATGATTTTAACAATTGTAGCAATAGTATAACCTCAGACCCAAAAGTTTCACTCAACAGACTTTTTTTTAATATCAAAGTTGATGGCTCAATCACGAAGATTCTCAAATCAAGTGATCGCTCAAACAAAACAGAACCCTAATTGACTAGTAGGATATATAGATGATATTAAGGGTTAGGAATTAGGACTAAAGAAGAGAACTGACCTGGTGGTGAATGATTTTTTTGGCGGTGTTATTCCAAGTAAGATGACAACGTTGAAAAGGACGACGTTGGAGGAGGTGGCCGGCGAGGATGAAACAGACGAGAGACAGGATGAAGAGGAAGGACGAAGGAGTGAGGTCACGTTCAGAGGATAAAAAAGGAGAAGGGCAAATGAGCATATATTCTCAGTCAGCGTCATTTTTAGAATGACTCGGTAAGAAGCCTATGGACCGAGCAAGAGCTTAAAATGGTGTAATCAAACATTCTGTTTTGGACTGAATCAGACGTGGCTTCTTACCGGAATCGGTAAGAGGCTTATCAAACAAGGCCTAAATGACTAAATGACTAAATCTAAATCTGCACACTTGAACCTGTAATCACACTGTTTCCAGACTCGGCTCTGATGATTTATCTTCTTCAGATAAAATGAAATATACAAAATCTTCATATCCCATTTTTCCTTCAACATTACTGGTAAACTTTCTGGGTACCTGAGAGAATGAGACATTCATGGAGAATTAAAAAGAAAAGCAACAGAAACAAAACAAAAAGAAAAAGGATTAAGAAACACAAACCTGTGAAAATATTTTGTCAACAATTCTGTATGTGAGCTCTCTGAGGGTAAGACGAGAATCACCCTGCTCTATTCATGTAGTAGAAAATTCTGTATATAACCGTTTCAGCTGCTCATAACAATTCACACCAAACCAATCATAAACATTATTATATCAATACATACAACTCCAGTGTTAAAAAAAAGATTAAAGCAACTAAGATCATGTGATTGGACATTCATGCGTGATTTCAAGATTTGGTTCTGCCCCTGATAAAGTGGTCAAGATTTGATAAGAAGAGGTTGTGATTTAATATTAATAACAAGAAAAACTATTATTATTATCATTTTACGAACCTGTGAATGAAATTATGTTTGTGAATGGACTCTTTGGCCATGACACTTTGAGCTATGTAAAACTTAGGAACATTTCTTTCAGCGTGTCTTCTCTCATTAATAAATTCATCATGTCAACAAAGAATTGTCACAATATTCATCAATGCTAAGTTGTTAACAATATTTATCGATTTCAACATAAGAAGGGTAGATTAGGTAATAAGGTAAATGATTAGTTTCAGAATACATTAAGACAGGTTTTCAGGCTTAACTCATTTAGTCATTTTGTCTCGATTAAGTAAAAAAGAAACAGCCTTTAAGTCAAAAAGAAATAGCACCTGGTTAACCATAGAACTAGGCTTAACTAATTTTTCTATATAAGAACTAGCTATGTGTTTATTAGTGACAAGAAGGAAAGAATTCATCTGTTATACATGTTGTTGGATAAATCTTATCCAAACAGCCCACCATCATACCTGCAGTTTAATATTAGTGACAAGAAGGAAAGAATTCATTTGCTATATTATTAGTTATTTATAACCTCTTCTATACTCAAAATAATCTTTGTTTCAAGGCTAAAATTTTAATTCATCATGAGGATGTAGGACCTTACACATTCTATCTAGAATGGTAAAAAAATTCAAAGACTTAGGGATGTTGGGAGGAAATTTAGACAGGTACATAAGATGCAAAGTTCATTTAGGGGAATCAATTGTCAAAAACTCTGCAACCAGTTTAAATGCCATGTTTGACTATTTTTTTTGGAAATCGTGAGAAGTGAAACATCAAAAGTGCCACCACCAAGATAAAAAAAAAGCACATTCCTTTTCTTATTGAAACTTGACATTGCCTACACCATAAGCAATCGCAGCTGCTGTTGGCTCATTGATCAAGCTAAGACTTTTTTTCTATACACAAAGCTAGTTCTTATATAGAAAAAATGAGTTAAGCCACGATATAAAGAAAAAGGAGAAATTAATGGGATAAATATTGAAACCTTATATATATCATTAACCATAGAAATCAAATGGTTACTCAGATCTGTGAGAAATGGAAGCATCATCCTCGATGACCCTAAATCGCCAATATAGGGAGTTAGGGTTTTTTTCGGTTGGCCCCTTCACCTCTTGGTCAATCTTAATCTGGTGGATGAGAGAAACGAAAATACCTGGTGGAGGGGAAAGATATGATAACGTGGAGGCATCGATTAGAGGTGGTTGAACCGGTAGGTCCAATTGACAAGGAGATCTCCTCCCTTGTTCCATCGTCTCCATACCTGGACAAAATGTTTCTTACCAATTAACAAACCCTAAATGTTTCCTAGCAATTATATTGCCGGAAATTAGGGTTGGTGGGAAGAGGAGAGGATGAGGAGCACTATATCACCGGTTGTGAGCATGAGGAGTCGCAGAACCCCAATTGCTAGCTCTGCGACGTTCGTCTTTGGGAGCACGTACAAAAGCCCTAGTTGTTGGTCTCCATTTTGTGATCTTCAGGAATGAACGAGAGTTTTTAAGAAAATAATTATAGAACAATTATATGAGTTGTCAAGGTGTACAGAAGAGATGGTATCGTGATTTGGGTTTAAAGAGAGAAGGGAAGAAGAGAACAAAGGGAGATCTTTAAGCGGGGTATTTAAAAATTTTAGAATTTTAAGAGGATTTCCTGAAGAACGCGCATTTTGAGTAAAAAACATAAAGCGACATTCACAGAGGGCGCACATTTTAGATAAAGTGCCCTCCGTGTTTTTAAGTTTTTTTTAAATGAGACACTAATTTAAGGGCACGCAATAATGCGTATCCTAAATCCTTAAATTTTTTGAAGAGATGATACTTTTTTAATGTCGCTTTCTAATGCGTAACATAAATAAAAGAGCGTCGTGTTTTGCGCGTCGTAAAAGGGTATTTTTCTTGTAGTGAAATATCACACATATCACATTATCCACTCGAGGCTAACTCAATACGACCTTCTGGTCAATGTGTTCTAGTGGAGACCCTTCGGTCCCACACTCGGAAGGACCCTCCAACCCTCACTCAATAATTCATAACAATATGCATAAACCACAAGGATAAAATGCAAAGTAGCACAATACATAAAAAAGCACATAAGATATCTCACTCACACCAAGAGACCACTCATGGTATGTATAGTGAGAAGACTCACCTCGTAAGCTAGTAAGTAAAACTCTCGTGCTCGAAAATCTCGAACTAGCTTCCGCCTAATACACATAATAATTATCCCTAATTAATAACGGTCCTCATGAAGCTAGACCAATCTATCCATACACTAACAGAAGGGTAAAAGACTATTTTACCTCTCCATGGGCTTAATAGACCACTCATTGACCAAACCCTAAAAGTTAACCAAAAGTCAACGACAAGGAGTACGCTGCACATACGAGCTCTCTACGCTGGGCGTACTGAACTGCCATGCATACATTGGAGATGATCAACCCCTACGCTGCACGTACTAGGATTACGCCCAACGTAAGTCCCAATTTTATCCTCCTCACATATTTGGTCTAAATCTATTAAGACCTTGGCTCATATCATAGATCTGGACTCCCTATCATCTCTTAATCCATAAAGTCAGTGACTTTAAGTCTTTGCATGGCTGATTTGGTCATAAACACCCAAAGCACTCATCCTTTTTTCTCATAAAGCTCATATCTCATGCATGGCTTGTTTCTAACGTCCACGATCCGATTTTTATGACATTACTCCACAAAATACACTAAAAGGGGTTGATCATGGTCTCTAGAGCTCATTATCTCGTAAAGTCTCCATCTTTTGGGACAAAAACCTAAAATACACTCTAAAGATGCACAAATCAAAAAAGTGAGAAAACTTTGTGTGACAACTGCCAATTCAGGTCATTCTTGGACTCATGCATCTTTATAATAACCATTCATGCACAACATGTCATGACCTAGTAGTATAAATTAGGTCAAAAATCTTGCATAAACTAGGATCCAACTAAGGTCTAGGACTAATATACTTGATACTTACAATTCTAGTAAGTTGCTTAGCTACAATAGGAAATGCCAATACTATAATTAGAATAAAGCTTCAAGCTTTGTTATAATTGAAATAGGGTATAAAACTCTAAAAATAAATTAAAACATTCTAATTATACTTCAACATGTTGTTGAATATCAATCAATGTTCCAAAAACTCTAAACAGCCAAAAATCCAAATTTATAAATCTTAAAGCTTAAAAACTTTATAAAATTTGGCTATAAACTTTCTAATATCAAATTTTATTAATCAAATTATGGATTATACCAATGAAATAGAAATATAAATTACAAGTATTAATCATAATTTATTAGTTAAAAACAAGATTTTTAAATAAATCAAAAATTGCTTAAAGAATCACTTTTATAAAAATTAGATTTTTATAAAAATTAGATTTTTATAAAAATTAAGGAGGGATTTTTTATAAAAATTTGAATTTAGGAGAGAGGAGGCTTTAATGCCTCAAAAATCTGGCCATCTCCCCTCTCCCCATGCACTCTCTTCCCAAAACTCATGATTAAACTCAAACCCACACTCCACCTCTTCTCTCTTCACTCTTCTCACTTCACTCTCTTCACACACTTCACCCTCTTCCTCTCTCTCTCTAAACTCACGAAATTTCTCTCATTTCTCTGCCAAATTTCAAGACTTTGAAGACCTTGAAGTGTTCTTACTTCTCTCAAGATCATAACCAAGGTAAACAACATCATCTTCTTCCATAGTTTGATGATTCTACTTCTTTTCCTTCTTAGTTTTCTCTTCTTTTAGGATTCTATGCCTTTCCATGGCTAGAAATCTTTATTCTCCCCTTGTGGTTTGTAGATTCTCACCATAACACAATGCATGTGTTTGAAATGGTGAAAATCCGGGATCAAACCCATGCAAGGAGTGAAAAAGATGCACATATGATCATGTGACATCAAAACATAATATTTCATGTTCTTCTCCATTTCTTGTGTGTTCATGCATGAACGAAAGCATTAAACCATTTCTAGTACATCTTGGATGCTCATTCATTCCATGCATGTGTTAGAAATCGGGCCTTACCAAGGACATGCATGATGTTCTTATTGAAATACCCTAAAAATGCACACAAGCAAACATGCAATCTGCCAGATTATTTTGTTCGACTTTGAACAGTCATAACTCAGTCATTTTTTAACCAAATCATGATATTCTTTTTGTATTGGTTAGTTCCACGAGTTAACTTTCAAACCCAACTGGTCTTACTGTAAAATATTAAATATCCGATTTTTGGCAGATTTTACAAAAAGGTTGCGCATACAGCTCTTTTTCTGTGATCACTATTTTTATCTTGCTTAAACAATGGTCTTAAACCCAACCATAAATCTTAGGAAAAATACCTTAGAAACTTAACATATCTAGTGAGTTATGGTTGAAATTTCGTGGCTTAAAACCTCACTGAATGGGCTACAAAAATTCATGAACCTCAGCCACATCTACACTTCATGCATTATTGCATGCAACTTTTCTTAAATTGTTTGGAATCATTACCCTCATTTCTCTTCTGAATACATTCTTAACATTTTTACTTTTGAAAGCCCTTGCATGCATGAGATAATCTGGAAAATTTCAAGAGCTTTTGTTATTTATTTGATTTATTAGAATTATTGCTAAAACCAAGGGCATAAATCATATAAAATACTTCCAGAGGTCAATAAATCCTAAATAAATTCATGGATGATACTTATGGGGAATAATGACCCCTCACCAAATTTCAGCAATTTTTGTTACTGTTTCATATGATTTCTAATTTTCTTTTATTTAGGACATGATAAATTACAAAACCACTTTTTAGGATGTGAAAATTTATCTAACAATTTTCGCATACCTTACTTGTGATGGGTGACTCAAGAAAATAATTTCAAGATTTTTCATCATGTCTAGCTATTTTTCCCAATTTTTGGTAATTATAATGGCTTAAAAATGGGAAAAATAGTTCTGATTATCCAAAATTCATGAAAATTTGCCAGGATATCATATTATATAGTAGGAGGTTACATAAAAATTTTGAATATTTTTCTCCACTGTAAACTATTTTTCCCTTATTTTCTAAAGTTAATTGCACTAAAATTCACTTAAATATACATAAATACCCAAAACCAGTTTATACATTATGAAAACCACTTTTGATATTTTTCCCAAGATATTTATACTGTAAATGATGTTACAAAAATTTATGGTAATTTATTTTAACTGTTTAATAATATTTCTTTAATTAATGACTATTTAAAGAAATAAAACAAGGAAAAATACAAATAACCACTGAAAAATATATTTTATATTTTTCCCAGCCTATTTATGTATAATAACAATTAAATAAAAAGTTTGGGTAATTTTGGAAACTGTTTACTATTTATTTCAATTTTTATTGAAATAAATGCTCAAAAATTATAAAATATAATTAAACAGCTTGGAAATCCATTTTTATAATTTTCCCAGCTTAGTGTTGTGTATTAACAGTTAAATAAAAAGTTTGAGAATTTTTATCCCTCGAATACTATTTTTCGTGAATTTATGTTGTTATTGAGACTTAAAATTTGGAAAATTAACCTTCCAAGGTTGTAATTAATCGCACGACTTGTAAAATTTCAATACATCAGAAAAAGTGTAACAAAATGATATAAATCCAATACTAAAACATAAATTGGCATTTCCCTATATGTAGAGTTTAGTATATTAGCATTAGATATCGACATGGAAACTCACTAGTGCGTGTGTTTGGTGTCGTAGGATCCCGGTAGTAAGACGTTGGTGCATCCCGAAGTACCGCTTGTGTCTACACAAAACATCGTGAGTATTCACGCACTCCCCTATTTTCGTTTTTATGTTTTGGGGTGGAAAAGCATGTCCAGAAAAACTATGTTTGCATGTTGTATTAAATTGAATTGTATCAAACATGATTGCTATTGTATTGCTATGTTTCTTTATGTATGTCTATGCAACACGGAACATGAGAACTTATCGTACTAAGGCCCTTCCCTTATCTCTAACCATTAACTCTTTGAGCCAATGGTCGTTATGGATAGCGCTATTAGGAATTGACAACTCCTCACTCGCCCGAATCGCTGGAGTGCATGATACCATATTCATCTATGGAACGATAAGCATAGATCTCGATAGGGCTTCAGTCATAGGTTTGGTTGAGACTCATTGTTTGCTCATACACATACAAACGCGTTTCTCGTTATAGCAATAAACTTGTATTCATTAATAGCAATCAACTT